GTGTGAGTGTGTGTGTGTGTGTGTGTGTGTGTGCGTGTGTGTGTATGTGTGTGTGTATATATTATGTGTTTTTGTTGATATAAGAAGACAGAATATATTACAAATTTAAATTGTGATGTATGCTTAACAGGTACGCAATCTGGAAAAAAACGATATCATTGAATACATACTTCATTCGTTGACAAAGCATGAACAGACAGGTGGTAATCTCCGCTACACAGTACACATAAGGTATCCCACCAGAAAAGGTGAGAGTTCGTCGACCGATGACCGGAGTTTTGAGTTTCATCATCACAATACTTATTCAGTTGATCTACCGTTCAACGGACTTCCGGACTTCTACTCCTATCTCACGTCAACATCATCTTTACCGATTCCCGGAGAAAGTCATCTGTTCACACCTAATGAACAGGAGAAAACAGTACTCGACACAATAATAGTCGGTTCAGCGTTTGATATTATACGGGCAGCGGCACTGTAAGTTCTCGAGTTTGTTAAAAGCGCTGATTGTAATTAACATGTGTGTTCATCAATGTCAATACTATTTCGGCCTTTTCTTTCAAACAGTTTGATGTCACGTGCAAGACCAGCAAAGAGAAATATACATATGTCAACGTTCTCGGCGCTGATGGGAACAACAAGACAACGACCTGACTTCGCTGTTTTTATGAGACATGAATCGACTGTATTATACGAATTTCTGTTCAGGTTTGCGATGCAGTGGATATATGAAGACTTGCAGAAATGCATAACTGTCGTTGTATCAGACGGAGATGCTACAATGCACCATGTCTTAGACGGGGTACGTGCGTAAACACATTTTGAATATGTTTACATTCATCCAGTTTGATAATCCTTCACAAAATATACATAATTTAATCACGCATATCTATTGAACAAAACCGCGTTTATACTTACTTACTGCAACCGCTAATCCAGGACAATCGTATGGGAATGCTGCAATATTCAGCGGAGATGGTGCTTTTAACACGCTGTTACGATGACATTTTATGAAAAAGTGAGGCGCTATATCTCCCTCTGTAGCAATGTAGCTCAAGACGTATATGACTAGGTGAGGTTTGCGTTAAGGACAGCTGAAACAGAAGACGAGTTGGAAGAGTCTTGCTCAAAACTGTGTTTGTGGTACCCCAAGGCCTTAGACGCATTCGAAGCCCAAATGTTGAAGCACGCCAACACCGAGAGAATTAATCAGTGGGGTAAAAAGTGTCTCGTACAATGCTCACCGCTACGAGACTTGCCATAAATTAATGACTTGATGATGTATACCGAATCAAGAACGATGTTTCTTATTTTGCAGCTCGCTCAGTTAATTGCTCCTTGGAACAATATGTTACTATCAGAAACAAAGATGAGCACAATGGAATCAAGAGAATGGAATCAAGAGAAATGGCATATTGAACGATTAAACAGCAATGTCAAGAACACACGAGAAATATATCAACCGAATGAAGCATCGGTAGACAAAAGGTTTATTAAAGGGGTGGAGCGTGAAATCATGCTTAAACTGGATGCCATGCCACAAAGAAGTGTACGGTGGGAAGGATCCAGTTAAAGCAGGGTAGGAGAATCGGAAGTGTAGAAATACGGCCGGTCAGTCTAAAAAATCAAGATCAAATGAGATAACACATTGGTTTTTATTTGTTTTAAAATAATTTAATACAAGTTCTTTTTCCAATATTTTCAAAGTATTCTAAATTCACTTTGATGGCTCCAATAGCCTGAGTATTTGGTATGACTCA